CCTTTGGATACTGAAGGATGGCTATAACAAAAATCAAAATGAAATAAGACCACTACTACCAACCATATAGAAATACGAAGAATTAGTAAAGATGCTATTAACAATTGTATGTCAACAAATTAGACAAGAAATGAAGTAGACAAGCTACTAGAAACACACAGATTACCTAAATTGACTCAAAGTCAAACAGAAAATCTCAAATTCATGAAAAACCTTCCAACACAAAAAATTCCACAAGCACATAGCTTCACTGGCAAAGTCTACTAAACATTTAAAGAATTAATACCAATCCTCCTCAAACTCAAACTTTTAGAGAAGTGGGAATGTGAAACGCTTCCTACCTCATTCTGTAACACCAGCATTACCATGATGCTAAAACCAGACAAAGATAAAAACATCTCAATAAGGTTGGTTTAACATCCAAAAATCAATTAGTGTAATACACCACAGCAGTGGTGGCAAACCTATGGCACACGTGTTGCAGAAGGCTGCTTCTTCATTGAAAATCAGAAAGGTTTGCCAGCACTTCACGATACTAACTTAAAAAGACTGAAACTACATAATCATCCCAACAAAACTAGAAAAAAGTATTTCCTAAAATCTAACATGATTAAAAATACTCATTAACCTAATAAAAGAGACCTTCTTACATCCAACAAAATAACAAAAAAACAGAGCTAATGTCATACTTAAAGGTAAAAAGTAAATGCTTTCCCTCAGAGATCAAGAACAACACACTAATGTGCACCCTCTTTTATTCAACATTGTACTAGATGCTCTGGCCAGGGCAATATGAAATAAAATAAAATAAAATAGCATCCAGCCTAAAAAAGAAGTAAATATACCCCATTTGGATATTATATCATATGTAGATGCTCTTAAAATGTGTAGAACTAAAAAAAAATGTGTAGATCCAATTAAAATTAGTAAACTTAATCACCAAGATTATAGTATAGAATCTCAATGTACAAAAATTAATATCTATACACTAAAAAAAGAAGGCTCTGAAAAGGAAATTAAGGAACAATTCCACTTACAACAGCTTTTCAAAAAAAATACTTACAAATACATTTACCCAAAGAACTGCAAATTTATACTATGAAAGCTCTAAACATTGTTGACACAGACATTTAAAAAGGACAAAATGAAAGAGCTCACATACTGATAGATCAGATGACTCAACACCATTAAACTGGTAATACTCCTCTCTAAATTGACCTTCTTGATTGAATTCAAATTGTTAAAATCCCACTTGGTTTTTGTAGAAAAGGCAACCCTGATCCTAAAATTCATATGGAAATGCAAGAAATATAGCATAGCCAACCTTGAAAAAGGAAAAATGAATTTTGAGAATACATACTTTGAGTTTCAAAACCTATCACAAATGTAGAGTAATGCAAGAGAGTGTGGTACAGACATGAAGGTAGTTGTACAGTATATCACAGGAACAGAACAGAGGTCCCATAATAAGCTATTATAATCACAGTCAAATGATATTTAATAATGATACAAAGATAATTCACTGACAGGTAAGAAAATCTTTTCAACAAATGGGGCTGTGACACATGAATTAACATATACAAAAGAAATGAAGTTGGACCAACATTTCATACCACATTAAAAAGTCAAGTCAAAATTATTAGATATACCACCAAAACTTGAGTAACAGAACAACAAAAATGCAGATAAATTAAATGCCATCAAAACGAAAACTTTTGTGTTTTAAAGAACACCAGTAAGCTGGGCATGCTGGTATGTGCTTGTAGTCCCAGTAACTTGGGAGGCTGAGAGAAAAGGGATCACCTGAACCCAGGAGTTCAAGACCAGCCTACACAATGCAGAAAGACCCTATTTTAAAAACCAGGAAAGTAAAAATGTAAAAATAAATCTGCAGAATTGAAGACAGCACAAATTACATTTGTGCTAAGGTACTTCTATCCCGAGGATCTGAGCAAGCATTCTCCAAAGATATACGAATGGCCAATAGTATGTGAAAAGGTGCTTAACATCATTAGCCATCAGGAAATACAGCTATTCAGAACATAAAACTGTGTTACTGCTTTGGAAAACAGTCTAGCAGTTTCCTTAAAAATTTAAAGAGTTGCCATATGATTTAAAAATTTACCATTTGGTCTATACCTAAGAGAAATAAAAACATATGTCTAGATGGGGGATAAAAAGTAGTACCTTTTACCCATGGCAAAGCTCATGGCTGACACCCCTACAACATAAAACAGGTTAATAAAAGAAAAGCAAAAAACTTTGCTTAACCACATTTCACGTGATTCAAGAGACTTCAGAAACAAAAGTTTAAAGATCCAGGGTAAAATATATTTTTATGAACAGTTTTGCAGAAGTATGACTGGAAGACAGAGGTAGGATCTCATGGTAATAAAATGAAAAAGATGAGCCAGATTTGTCTATTCAGATCCTCAGTACCTCTGGGTATAAGGCAAAACTCCTCTGGAATGAGGCCAGGGTCACATCACCCACTTTAAGAGAAAAGGCAAGATTCAGGTAAAAAGGCAGGAAGTCAGGAAGCAATGTTCCTACTTCTGTAGCTTTTTCAATGTCCTTCAACTTACTCTGCATGCTGAGGGGCCATATTTTTCAGTATCATTTTCTGAACCCCAAAATATACAGAAAATTCTGTACATATTCACCACAGCATTATTCATAATGGTGAAAAAGGGGCAACAACTGAAATACCCATATGTTAGTCATAAATAAATGAAACATAGAATAGATTTATAACAGAATACCATTCAATACTAAAGAGGAATAAAATATTGATACAGGCTAGAATATGGGTAAATCTCATCGAAGAAGTTGGTCACAAAATCCCAGATACTATGATCCTATTTATCACAAATGTTTACAGAAAAAACAAATATACAGAAAAATAGAGTAGTGACTATCTAGGACTGGTGAGTTAGGGAGAAATGTGGAATGACTGCGAAAGGGTATAGCATTTCTTCTGCGCGGTGCTGAAAATGCTGTGAACTTGATTGTGGCGATCTCCGCACTCTGTGCAAAAACTCAAAACTACCGACATCAGCTCTTTAAAGTGACTCAACCTATGGCACTGAAGTTACATTCTAATAGTGCTTTTTGAAGGAGACGAGGCACAGCTTTCTTATTGACAACATAATTATATAACTTAGAAAAATCTACTTGGCTATATAAAATATTAGCATAAGACCACTGGGGAAATTATTCAACAGAAGCTTCAGATAAAAGAAACCAATAATATTCCTATATTCTAGAAATTATCAATTTAAAATATAACAGAAAATATACTGTGTACTATAATGCAACATTATTTACAATACCACTAGCTCGAAATAAATCTAATAAAACTGGGCCAGTGCCATTTATAGGAATTTTGAAAACTTTATTCCACATTTCAAAGAATCATAATTCTCTCAAAATGAATTTCTAAATTAATTCATAAACTAAGTATGGTTCCAATCTGCTAACGACATTTTCATTAAAATTAGTAAAATGATTCTTAATATTGAAATCTAGTGAAAAAACACACACTGGGTTAATGATTTACAAAGAAAAGAACAATGAATTAGACTTTGCTATGAAATACTTATTTGAATTACAAAATTGTAATACCTAAAACCATGAAAATAATACAAACTCCAGAAACAAACACATACATACAAAAAACTTGGGAGAATGAAGAGAAATGGGATTGTAAATCAATAAAATTATTAAGTAAATGATGTAAAACATCATATCCAAAATAAATTGTGAACAGACTTCAGGATGGGAAAAACTCCGTCACAAAAATCCTAAAGCAAAAACATTAGAGAAGAAAATAATAAAACTGACCATTAATTCATAAAATTTGAAAATCCAATTCTTATATAAGGTACAAAAAATTTTTTAAAACCTCAGAACTAAAAGTCAGAGGAAATCACAGAATTATTTGAATAACATAAACAAATGACAATTATCACCAAATAATCTGTAACTGTAAATCAATAAAGGGAGTGCTACTTGCTCTTACCACACTACCAATGTCTTAAATGTTGTAGAGAAGCAGAAACATATAAAAATTAAGAAAGTAAATGCACCAGGATGCAATTTCCTCAAGAGTCCAGTCACTCTCTGTATACTAAGGAAGTCAGTTTCCTAATACATAACCTATTCCCTTAAATATCTGTAATGGATTGATTCACACATTAAGGCATATCCTTCTCTCTAATTTAAATATCATGCAGACGTGCAATCACACATACCCATAAAACATACCCATACTATTGCTGAATATTTATACATATCTATTTATATTACATGTTATATTACTGTGCACACACATAGAAAGACTACCTTACTAGCCTTGTTTCCTCCTTTTTCAATAAAATCTATGACAAAAGAAAATCTTGAAATTTGATGGGAAAATAAGTGAACAAAAAGTCAAAATAAAGAGAATGCCACAAAAAAATATTTTGAAAAGTACTCATCAAAAAGATGTAGAAATATTATGGATTGCTGGCAACTGTTATCTTCTATTAAAATTTTCCTAAAAATTTTTAAACCAAAGAAATCACTACCTCAGAAACGTATTTTTAACTTTTTTAGATTTTTTTATATTTCATTTTTAAGGGCCCGAGAAGAGTCTTAAAATTATACTGCAATGAATTCTAGCTACATTTATAAATTTAAGCCTTAATTTTATAATTTTATAATTATGTCAAAGCCCATGATTCTAAATATGATTTTTCAAAATACATTTTATTTCAAAATGCGATAGCCTTTATTTTTTAATGACTACATTTTAGGGTAACTATTTGAAGTCAGTTTCCTGCTTTGCAACATCAATTTTTAAAAAGCTGTGGGTCTTAAGTGAAAGAATATAAATTAATGCTAGTCCCCACTGGTGGATTTGAATATATAACTTGCTATTTAAAAAAATAACATGTATTAAACTACCTACAAGAAGTTAGATCCAAAATTACAGTGTGAATTACATTCTTGGTGTATACCTTTACTTTTGCATCAATGCTGTATTTTTCTTTTCTCCAATGTGTTTCCTCCTTCCTCAGTTTCTCCAGGTCATTTAGCAGGTCACTGCAGCGGATACTTAATTTCTCATTTTCCTCCTCCAGATTTTTTATAACCAGTCTGTTTTGCTCTTCTTTATTCTGTACACACTCCTTAGTGTCCTGTAGAACAGCACCATGAGGGCCGATAAACAAACAGAAAGAAAAAGGTGAGAACTAATCAGCAAATATAAACTGTGCAGTTTTACCCTCCCAGCAGCTGGTTCTGTATTTGATGGCCAAGGTCACCTGTGTACTTTTATTGGCCTCTTTTCATGCAGGTGGATGGGTCATATTTTTTCACTGGATGACAGCTTTGATGAGTACACATTTGCAAAGAGCCCATTAATTGATCAAGCTGCCTTTGATGCTGTCCCCAGCTATTTTTGAGACCCACACAGACATATCCTCCCAGACCTGGGTTTTATCAATTAATAATGCCAGTCCCATCAGAATCTAATTAAAAGAAGCCACACATTCACACTCCTACTTTCTTAGCTCCATTTCCATCATTAACTATTAATCTGAAAGTTATAAAGCTTGGAGTCTTAGCTTTAAAGCATCTTTATCAGAGTTTTTACATGTGAGAAAACTGTATGATACAGCAGGGCCTAAGGCAATTTTTCCTCCAAGCCTGTCACTTTCTGTGCCACAAAGGCTGACAAAGCTTAAAGCAGGACTTCAAAGCAGCAGTCCTATAAAACTATGTACAAGTCAACACACCTTAACTTCTTGACTTTTATCTTTAAATTCCTTTTGCAAGTTACCGAATTCTTTCCTCAAGAAAGCATTTTCTTCATCTACTTCAATCTTCCGTTTTACAAGGTCATTTATTTCCTGTTTTAGTAATGATTCTCTCTGTGAAAAAAATTTTGAATTATTAGTAAACTGGTATATCTTAGAAAACATTATTTTATCTTGTGAGTTTTAGATTTCAACTGATAAAACCAGGATGAACTTGCATTCATAATAAAATCCATCAGCACAATTCTCATTTCTTGTAACATGCCATGGATTTTACCTAAAATGTGCAAGTATGTTATCTATAAGTTTAAGATAAAAATAGACTAAAGTGAGAAACTAAATGTTAAGCTATACCCAGGAACAAAACTGCACAATTTAAGTACACAACAGGAAAAAAATAAAATTTTATAAAACATTCCAGTAAAACAAATGCATGTATATCCAAAGTAAGAATTATACACCTTTCTGAATGTCATTTGGAAAATTTCTTCAGCAAAAGCATTTAGGTTTTAGCAAAGGCAAAAATCATTTCAAAGAATAAAAACAGTTAAGTTTGTTTAGGTACTAAAATATATATTATCCCATAGATAGAATATTCAGAATATTAATACTGCTGTAATTTTTAGCCAAATAGTCTTCTCACTAGCTAGAGACATCCAAATGATATGGTTATGGATACACCCATGACTCAGTTCCCTCTTTTTGCTTTACAATTTTCCTCTCAGAATACTTATACCTTCTAGCGAACTGTCTTCCTAACTCTATCTGAAAGACTATACAATCCACAATCTAGTTCTAACTCCCTTGTATCCAATCTCACATTTGCAGCTTCCTACACTATCTCCCTATTTGGATTCACAGTCCTTCAAAGCAGCATGACAAAAAAGAACTCCTGACTCTATCTTTCCTAGATTTTTCAATTTTTGTCAACTCATCCATTTTTTAAACTAATACTTACTAAGCACCTACTATCTGGGTTGAAAGCTTTATTTGAAGCCTCCAAGTCAGATTCAACAGTGCCATTTGTCTGTCAACCAAGAAGCAGAAATTTCAAAATAGACATTTTATTTTTTAGCTAACATGCTCAGAAGAAACTAGTCTTTATTCTATCTCTGGTCTATCACTGACACTGATCTCTAAGTATTATGTACTCCTATTTTATTCCTTATCCAAACTTTTCCATAGGACTTGAGGATGAAGTGAAATTTGGGGGTAAGATTCAGGGATGGAATATAAAATGCACTGAGTTTAAGGAATAATTTGAGGATATCTTCTATATTCTAATAGTCTAAAGTTGTAATGTTAATGGTTGCTTGTATGTTACAAATAGAATAAAAATATTTTAGATACTGACTACTACAAAAATAACCTATTAAGTAGGTAAAGAATTAAGGGAAAAAGTAACCAGAAATGTTCTGAACATAGCTGAAATACAACTATACCATTATCTTGGAAGTCTATATGTTTGTTGTATATATTTTCTTATCTTTTTAAAACCTCCTATCCCTCAGGGTTTCCACAATCATGGAACTCTGTTTCTTATCTTTCTCTTGCTTTTCTTTATAGTCTGAAGATACATACATTCTTATTTAATACATTATATAGTTTAGCTTATTTTTAAATTAAATATAAGTTAAACCACACTACACATATTCTGGCTACTTTTGTTCAGTATGTGCTCCCAAATCCATCCATATGAGTGATATAGCTGCCATATAATTACCTTGGTATATATTACGGTTGTTACATGAATATGCTATAATATATTTGTGTGTCTTTTGTCATTATATATTTCAGTTGTTCCCCATCTGAGAGAAAGAAGTGCATAGAAACAATGAGCTAAAAAACAATTTAAAGCAAATCTACAGCTAGACATATGCAAGAATTCTTCCCAAGCAGTAATTGTCAAACTATAGACACCAATCTAATGGTGGGTCATTAAATCAGTTTTGTCATCAGACTGACATTTTTTAAATGGATACTGACATTTTTTAAATAAAAACATTAAATTACATGTATGGAATTTTAGCATAAAGATGCCAATAAGAATAAACATATAAAAATAAGCAGACCCACTATACAATTGAAATAGTTTCTAAATTTTTTCATGTTTAAATTGGAATGGAATTTTTATTTTATTTAAGTATTATGAAATTTACACTTGGTATAAATATTGTTGCACGTTTACCTTTATTATGTTTATCAAGACAACTATTATATGAAATTTTCTTTATATATATACTGTGTAATGAAGTAAAATGTAGAAGTGTGGGAATCATACTAATGAAAGTCTGAAAAGCCTTTCTCTAAAAGTTTACATAAAAGGTAAACTTGCTATGTACATTTTAAGAGTTCACATCTCTCAGTTTCCCCACCAACATTTAAGATTCAGGCTTCAGAATCCTTTACAAATCCAACAGGTATGAATGGTGCCTCTACACAGTTTTAATTTTTATTTCCTGTTTTAATTATTAGACTATATCAAATTGCATCCTATATCATCAGAAAACATAAAAACAGATACGCAGTACAAGAATAGCCCATTCACAATTTACAATTGTTTTTTTCTACTCACATGTAAGTCTTACCCTTGTTTAAATTCAACTTCCAACTCCTCCATCCTCCATGAAAGCCTCCTCAACAACAATCTCCGTATTTATAATCCCTGACATTTCTAAATGTCTGTATTGCTTATATTATTCATTTAGCACATACCACACTATCTAATCTTGCTAATTATTTCTTTACATATTCGTATTATCTCTCAAATGATATAATTAGGTATTATTAAATATTACAGATGAGGTTGAGACTGAATGCTAAGTTCAAAAATGTGAATGTTATGATCCTGAAAAAACATCTGTATAGGCCTATCCTTTGAAAGAAGAAAAGACAAAACTTTAGTATCCTGCATCTATTCTGGACTCTAGGAAGGAGAAATCACTACACAACTAACTTAAAAATTTTACAAGGTTTTACCAGTTAAACCGAGCTACACTTAATAGGCATTGACACTATACGTGATACCACTGTACAAGTGTGTTTATAAGACTATTAAATAAAGTATGGCATTTGGATGAATTATAAGGGAAAACATAGACCTAATTTACAAATTAAAACCCCTAATAATGTGGGTTACTGGCTAACCAAAACTATCATATCCAATAATTATGTTGATAAATATGGTATTCGACTTCATAATTAGTAACATCACACAAAGATGTACTTCCAAGAGGACTGACAAATTCCCAAAAGTGTGTAAGTCTATATAAGGCAACATATTTTCCTAATGAAATATACCCTAAATGTTCTATTTTAAGTGAGGAAATCATAAGTACATGCAGCTAAAATGCATTTTAAAACTTAGATTTATGAAACTTTTTCAATGAACCTTCCTAAATACCTAAATCCTTAATGGCCTGGTTTCAGTTAACGTTAAAATGGCAAATAAAACTCAGAAGAACCATAAAGCAAAAAGGGTGAAAAGAAAGAGTATGCCTGGAACACATAATTTTTTTTTTTTTTTTTAAGGATAAAAGGAGGGAAACATTAACAGACATACAACATTTTACAACATATCACAAGCACAATACAGACAATACAGAGTTCCAAACAAAGTGGTAGGGAATTAACAATGGTGGTTGTATTACATATTGATATCTTCAAAGTGGCTTCTCATGAAAACAGATATAGACATGCAATACTGGTCAACCAAAGACTCATTGACAGTTTCTTTCAGCATAGAAACAGCAGACAGAAGAACAACCATGTTATCTATCCTGTATATACATACATACAAAATTTCTCCTTCTTTCCCTTCTCTTTTCCCACATCCCAGAAGCCCTTTACTCTTCGGTGGTTTCCTATCATTTCACAGTGTCTATCATACCTCCGAGTTTAAATTAACTCTTTCAAGTTTTACACTAGTGACACAATGCGGTGCTTGCACATGTATGTTTGATTTATTTCACTTATGAGTATGGTCTCTAGTTGTGACCATTTAAATATAAAGGCCTCGAGTTTATCTTTCTTTACAGCTGAGTAATATTCCATTATATAAAAGTACCATAATTTTCTTATCCAATCCTCGGTGGATGGACATTTGGGTTGCTTCCATATTTTAGCAATTATAAATTGTGCTGCTATGAACATAGGTGCACATATATCACTGTGATATGATGTTTTTAGATCTTCTGGGAAAATACCCAGCAGGGGGATAGCTGGGTTGAATGGGACCTCTAAACCTAGTTTTCGGAGGAATCTCCAAACTGATTTCCACAGTGGTTTCACCAGTCTGCATTCCCACCAGCAGTGGAGAAGGGTTCCTATTTCTCCACAGCCTCGCCAGCATTTGTTATTGGTTGATTTCTTAATGCTAGCCATTCTTACTGGGGTAAGGTGGAATCTTAGTGTTGTTTTAATTTGCATTTCTCGAATGACTAATGATGTTGAACATTTTCTCATATATTTATTTGCCGTTTGTATCTCCTTGTCTGAGAAATGTGTGTTCATCTCAGCTGCCCATTTTTGGATTGGGTCTTTGAATTTGGAGGGGCTGAAATTTTTTAATTCTTTATATGTTCTAGATAGAAGCCCTTTGTCTGAGGGACAATCAGCTAAAATTTTTTCCACGTTTGTTGGTTTTCTTTTGACTCTGCTGGTGATTTCTTTAGATGTGCAGAAACTTTTCAGTAGGATGAGATCCCAGTTGTTGATTCTTTCAAGTGTTTCACGTGCAATTTGGTTTTTATTCATGAACTCTCTGCCTACCCCTATGTCTTCGAGGTTTTTACCTACTTTCTCTTCCAATAGATTTAGTGTTTCTGGTTTAATATTGAGATCTGTGAACCATTTTGACTTGAGTTTGGTGCATGGTGATAGGCTTGGAACACATAATTTATTATGGATGAGCCAGGAAATGGATAATTCACACCATGGTCCAGGGCCGGGGATAGAACTCAGTGGCGCAGTACCTGCCTGGCAAGCTTCACATACCAAGTTTGATTCCTGGTACAAAATATACACATATTCTTTTTCCTTTTTTTCATTTTAAAGAGAAAAGAACAAAAACAAAATAACAAAAACAAAGACATTAAACAACATAAAAACAATAA